TCCAATGGTCATAGTGACCATCAAAACGTGGAATCGCAGGTTGCACAAAGTTGTTTTCAGACGCCATGTAGTCTTGTTGCTCCAAGATGAAAGCTTGTTCTTTTTCAAACCAGGCCCCAGTGGGGGGCTCTGATACCACTGATACAACGATAAGGAAAAACAAAAGAGACGTATTGGAATGATAAAGCTCTGTATTTCGTTGATGAACTGAATGGGAAAATTACAACTTAAATAAGAAAACAAGTCTGCTGCTGCAAGCAACATAACATCCACTTAGCAGATTTTGTGGAACTACATACCACGACTCCAGCATGAAAAATGAACCTGACCATGATTCCTAAAACTTAGGGATTCTCCTGTAGACTAGGTAAACAAGACTCCTAACTACATACAACCACTTTATTGAAACATAAATAATCTAAAGATAAATCTTAACAATGCCACATTGATGAAACCCATGATTATACATGTAGGTTATCAATTAGTAAAAATTGATCTAGAAGAAGCTTTAGGTTGGTGCTAATGGCTTTAGCTCTCTGCATTTCACCGATTGCCATGTTTTCATTCTGTGAGTCAGATCCTCTGTTTCTTTCACACACAAAAGGTGTAGAAAAATGTTTCATAATTTTTTCCAATGTGTTCTCATGCCACCACCATTCGAATAATAAGCTTCAGTTCTGTTTTTTTCCAATCATTTCAACTGCTACATACGAAACCCCTGTGTATATATGTTGTGTGAATTATTGGTGAAATTTGATTTGATCATTTCTTAAGCAAGACAAACACATCAGCCTCTTCGTACACATAATCCGGGTGCAAATCCTGGTGCGGAACTTTCTCAATCACAAAAACCCTCTCACACATTTCCCAGAACAGTTTGTGTGCTTCCGGAGACCTCAGCTGGTAGCCGAACAAAACGACGCCGTCGTCCTTCACCAGCGCCTCCATGGTGGACACAAGCGGGCCCACAGTCTCCTCTATGTAAACGACGTCCGTCGCCAAGACGACGTCGTATGGAGGGTTCAGGGACTTGGCCTTATCCGCCGCCTTGTTCCAGTGCACGATGGCGTGCTTGACTGTCTTCCCCAGGACGGGCTTGTTGCGCTTGAGGTTGTGCTTCAGTGCGGGCATGACCACGGGAATATCGGTGAGGACGATGTCAAACGACCCAAACTATTTATTTTTCAAACTATCCTTAATAAGATCATTTTAATTTGGATTATTTTTTGCGAAGATAATCCTTGAATAAATACTTCTTGTTTTTTTTTTATACCGATAATTAATTTTATAATGTGAAATGGACGGAGAAAGTTGGTCGACCTGGGATTTGAAATTGAACATGAAAAAAAGTCCCCCGTAAACAATAAAAATACACTCCAATCAAGCAAGTTCCCAGAAGAAACAAAGAAACGTAGCAGAAACAAAGGCTGAAAGTCCTGGTGTCCCTAGTTTCGGAACACTTTCGCATAGAGGTCAGGCGACCAGGTCTAAGTCCTCTAGCTGAAAATCTTGTTTTCAATTGGAAAAGTAGCTCTGCAATCTGCTCTATTTTAGTAGAGCTCCAAACTCTCTTCCCCATAAACAAAAATGGCTGCCATCATCACACTGCACTCTCCGAAGTTCTTTCTTGTTCTGCTCCTGTTAACCCCTTGTGTAACTCCTTTAGCCTTCCATTTCCCCACCTTCCAACGAAGTGATCACAACAGCAGGAGCAGCACTACGAAATTATTAAATAACAAAGGAGATGCTAGCTTTCTTCATAGCGCCAAAAAGGTCATACTCAACCGTGAATTAGGAGCAAGGTCTAAAATATCGGTGGTATCAGAAATATCAAAAGTCCAAAAACACAGAAATATCGAAGGAAATATCGTGATATTATCGGTATCGGTAAAAATTGAATAAAAACCAAGGAAATTGTATGAAAAACTTGGAAATTTTTATTGAAAGTTCGCAGGATGTTTATTTAGTCAATTATCTATTA